ATGCCAAGCCAAGTTGAAAATTTTTGTTTACAGTCACGGATAGTCAATGTATAAATAAATAAATGCATTAATGAATAATGAAAGAAAACGTCGACTGCGCACGTATATTTGTCTGTGGTTTTAAACAAGAAGTTTGCCGCTATCTGTAATGACCTGATTCTGACATAATTCTTTAAACCTAAAACTAAATCTGACAATAGCATATCCTTATCATGTTCTTTAAAGAATGAAAAGGATAAACTGCTGTAAAATATAGGAGAATCGTATCAAAATTATGTTCACTACTGGGGTAAATATATGAATGGCAAGTTTCGTCAAAAAATATATCAAGATAATTTGAATTATCTCAATTACTAGAGAACAATGAATTGGTCAATTACATATAAAAAAATATACAAGTAACCCAAACTTATAGTTTTGGGTAACTTGTATAAACATAGAATCAGTGCTTCACAGACTTTTTGTTAAAATTCTAAAGCTAAGAACAGTTACAATGATGTTGCTTGGCAGTATTTCAGTTAGTACAGATTATTACTGGGATGCTGTTACACACAGATACTAATTCATAACCTAACGTTCATGTCGGACAAAATCATTTGGCATTTACTTACATATTTAGCAGATATTCTGACGCATAATTTTGTAAGCCAGAATAGTTTTAGCCAATTAAATATCAGATCCATTTTAATGTAGAAAGTTCACCATCAGGATCGACTTTTGACATAGAATTATTTAACTTTTCCTTTATTTATATATCTATAGTAATTTGAGATTTGTTTTTAAGATTTGGCTTTCCATTAGTCCAAGAAGCTTAATTAAGGTAACAACTTTTTAATTATATATTTCAATCTTCAAAATTGATTCCGCTGCATACTAATTATTCCTATCCACTCCGTTTAAACATAAAATTCATAAATTGAATAACAATTGAAAACACATACAACATTTTGCATAAAAAATATTTCCAACAATCATAGGAGCTGCTTACAAAAAGTCAGATAAATATGAAAACATGATTTTCTTACCCTAATAAGGGTAAAGAATTCAAACAAACCTCATCACTTTTACAATGCTTTATGTTGGGCACGTAAGGATATCGCTCCTAGATTGTTGGGTATTCAGTTTTAACATTTCAAAAGTAGTCCCAGGAAAATCGACTCTACTTTAATGTTACTAAGGTTGTTTTTGGGTCCGACCAAACGATGCCACCCCAACAATTTTACTTGCTACCACTTTGCAGTACCCCGATTTGTAGGCAGGAGAGAATATACCATTTACAGCCTACACTCGAGTGCAAATAAACTGGGCCAACCACTAGTATCTTGGAACTATAATTCGATTATTTCAAAAAGTATAAAACTTACAACTATTAAAGCGATATCTACAGAGAGTATTTTTCATAATTATTAATATGAGTAAAAATTTATTCTAAAGTACTGTCAACTTACTTAGTAATCGAGCAAGAAAAGTAATGCTAACAAATTGCTTATTTTTTAATAAAGTCGCGATTAACGTTCTTTTTTATAAAATGAAGATAGTCTGATATTTCTTATAATTTCCTTAATTCTTCTCCATAGTTTTTCTCTGACGTGAGTATTTTTGTTTCGTTCGTAACTTCCGAATACCACAATTGGAAAACGATTCTTCCTTAGCTTTTTTTAAATAAAAATTTAATTAATTTATTAATCTCAATAAATTCTAGTTCATTTTAATCACCACGAAACGCACTTTCTGTAGTTATAATTTTGATAGTTGTTAGTTTTATAGTTTTTGAGAAAATCAAATCAGAGTTCCGTGGTAGCAAGTGGCCCAGTTTATTTGCAGTCGAGTGTAGTTCATAAGATATTGAGATACAATATAAATAGAAGATTCTAAATTATTGAAATGACATTTCAAATAATTTTGTATTACCCATAAATTTAGCATAACAGTACTTAAAAAAATCACAACCCAAAACACAATCGGCCTTATTATAAAACGTTGACTAAATCTAAATCTGATTCTGTCACTTTTGTTTGCTAAAAAGAAGACAGATACAGAATTACGTTTAAACCAAGACTAAATTTAATCCGCGTTTGAAATAAGGCGCATTAAGTATAATAAAGTCGATTTCCGCTATTAGGGACTACATTTTAACGATTAATGAAGAGGTACGTTTAAACAGAAATTGTGCAAAAGCTCTACAAGCGGTGCTTGTCTACACAACGGCAGGTACTCACGTAGTGGGCCTAGACCTCTGCGCCACAGTTATACTAGCAGGAGAGAAACAATTCGTTAGGCACTCACTCAATACTCAAAGCACCCCCACTAGATCGCATTACTCAGTTTGTTCTCCCCCCCCCCCCCCCCCCCCCCCCCCCCCCCCCCCCCGTCCCCCCTGCTATTTTCTTAACAAGCTATAATATGTATCGTGGTACTCATGTTATGGATACAGGCACAAAATACATAGTACAAAAGGTAATCTGCATACAAAGTGCACTGGAGTAACGCACACATAGACACTCACGAACACAATATATCGGACCACTTGGGACCGCTGCGAGCGCGAGCTCCATCTGCTTGGGAGTCTGTGAACTTTTTTGAACAAATGATGAAAATGGAGTAACAATAAAGTTAAGTATTATATATTATCTATCTGTTCAGTAAACGGTTGTTTGAATTCAACTTTAACGGTGGCTATGTGTTCGTTCCTCGAGCGCACTTGTATGTAGATTACCTTCTGTTTTATATGTTGTTTGGGGGCGTGTCACGCGGTTTTGGAGTATTAATACATAAGCTAGGCACAGCCGGGTGTCCTAGTATACAGTCTCTAATGGGGGTTGCTCTGTTCTAGTCACACACGGATGTCTATACTTCAACACTTTAAATTTACGAACTTCATAATGAATTTACTAGATTTGTAGCAATTGTAACTCGAAAATATTTGTACAAACATTTGTGGGTTCATGACGACAAAAATAATCAACTATTACGCAATGCATATTCAAAATGAGATGTCTATAACTTTTTTTTTTGTACATTAATAAAAGGTATATAAAGGTAAGAAGGACTCGTATTTATTATTTTTTCTCATAATCAAAACATTACAGTTATAATGATTTCAAACCTCGCATGACGTATTGTACATTTCTTGTACATTATATTTTTTTATTACACGTATTGAAATATAGACAGAACTACTTGTAGAAATATAAATTAATTTGTTGCACTTCTATCCCTCTAATTGGCAATCCCAATTTTATTCCCCACATTCAAACTCAGTGAATTGATAATATGAAAAGAACTACAGTACCGAGAACTTTTTTATATATTAGGGCCTAACTTATGAATTGATAAACACACAACTACAATTCACAGAACATAAATAAGATCTAATAATGATTCTAAAATCTGTTAATGGTTTAATTACTTATACAAAGAAGAAATATTGTTTCGTAGACATTGTAGCAATATCTTGAACTGAATTGTAGAAATTGCGCTAATAAAGATTTAGTTATTTGTTTTTCTTTTAATAATAATTAATTCTCTCAAACATGCTTGAAAATGTGAGCATTATTTTGAAAACCTTTTTCAAGATGAAACAAAATTGCTATACTTGCCAAAGACATGGAAGCAGCGGCCAGTAATACTTATATGTAAAAAAAACATATCTCTTGTTTACCCATAAAATCAATTACTTACATACATATAGCAACACAGCCGACTCGGCTAGGAGAGGAGTAGCCATAATTCTGCCGCTTTTTGCGGGGGGAGAAATATGCACACAAATGCAGTCCAACATACTTTCTCAAAAACGCAATTGTAATTACGACACTCGCACATAAAAAATGACAACACTAAATCGTGCATAGATGAAACTTAAGATTTTTTATTGACAGGTCTGAAATTTATACTGGCAAGTCGATTACTTTGTCAAACAAACCCGACGATTGAATTTTTACAAAACAATATGAATTTTGTGGTTAAATAGAAATAATATATTAAGAATTCTACTTATATGTGAAATTTAACACCATCCTATTGTTTTAAGTTTAATATACCAGATATGTTTTACAGCAAATCAATTATGAGTGTAGTAATTATTGAAATACTCACATTTACAAAAAAGAATATTATAAAATAGTTATTGCAATATTCAAAACTTCGAGTCAGTACTTTATTAGCGCAGTATAATTATATAGCACTTCAACAAGACAACACATCAGGGTATTCTAATCACTTATAGACATGTTTCACATAGTATGTAGGTAACAACATTTATAATGTTCAGCGTACAGGGCACATAATAACCTCGTTACTTGCGTTTTGTAGCGAATGTATACTGTATACCCTTTAATTGCTGAGCAAACTCTTTCTGGACTCGGACTTGGTGTGAAGAATTGCGGACTTCACCAAAAGAATTATTAGTGTTATATGAAATTAAAACATTATTATGAAAAAAGGCAATCCAAAAACACGATTTATCCAAATACTACATAACTCTATTAAAAGATCGAATGTACTCTGAAATTCTGAATTTATTTTTTGAACATATTTTATCACTATAAAAATCTTGAATCTATAAATCATGACAAATACTTGAATTCAAAACAACATTACTACTTCATTAACTTTATGGTAATAAAAGTTTAAAGCTGAATGGTTTTATTCAATAACCCCAATTAATATGTCTTGTATTGCCATACATGCCAACAAACACAATTCAAAGGTTTTACCAAGCTCACCCCGTTAACCCATAGTCAAGACCCAATATTAGCAAGTTATACTATCTTTAAAATCAGAATTCGATGAAAACATGCTTGAGTAACCTAGTGTTTATAAGAAACCACACTACTCTATGTCAACCTTTGTTTAGAAGATTAGGATTAAAAGTTATTATAGTCAACAGAAAAAAAAATCTGTTAATTTTTATCTCTTAACCACCAAACGTATATCCAAATTGAATGAAGGTTAGGACGATAAAGTGTTAAAAAATGCCTCATTTTATATAGAGTACATACCTGCTCAGTCTCCTGTTGGACGATGTAGATTTCGGCTCTTCGGTAGAAGCAGTCATGGAGGTCTCCATCGGGTTGTCATCTGCATCCAGCAACTGAATTTGGGACTCACGCACAAACACTCCATAGTTTTCTTCACACTGTAATTATATGGAAGCATAAAATTATATTTTACATAAAAAAATCATCATCATCATCAGCCTATTGCTGCTGGGACACAGGCCTTCCCTATGGAATAGTGGAATAGTGAGATTGGGTCGTGACCCACCATGCAGGCCCAGTGCAGATTGGTGGATGATAACAACTGCAGATACAGCTGGTACCAACGGAAACCTTACTGAAAACTTAATATACCATCTGAAGCATGGAGGAGCTCATTAATAAAAGCGGATAATAAGTTTTAGGTCACCCATCCAATGACCAACCATTATAAAGTTGCTAAACTTTCACAATCGCAGGCCCAATGCTCTAACCACCTGTGCCATCAAGCTCCTCATAGACAACATAGTATTTGGTGAATGTTACTACAGTTGAAACCATATATAAAGACTAAAGGGACCATATAACTTCGGATGCTATGTCCAATAGTTGTTATAAGCAATATACACAAGTAGTCATATGTATGCATGTAGTTGGTTATAGATAATGAATATAAGCTGGCTCAAATAAAATATCGAAAAATGAAGTAATAACTTTATGAAGTAATTGAAGTACCTACAGTATATTTTGTTTTGCTGGAACAAGTAAAACGGTTGGTTGTTATAGCCGATGAATAACAATATGAACTTCAGCAATATTGGCTATAAGTCATTTTAAGTGGTATTTTGCTATATCTGGTGTTGCTATACATGGTTTGTTTACTTAAGCGTTTATATAGACTTTCAGTTGGGACTTTGCCAATTGGTTGCAATAACACATTGTTTTAAATGATTTCGTTCTATTCAATTTTGACTGTATTGTTATAAAGTACAATAACAAATTGGGTATAACTGTACTTCCAGGGCCCAAGAGGTGATACTTGTTTTTTTGTAATAAAGTTCTCTTTAAAAAAAATATTCTAGTATTTCGCCGGCCCCTACCATACCAGCACAAGTAGCATAACTACACCTGAGAGTCCTTCAGATTTCCAATAGCGACAAACTGTTAGCCCCTCTGTCAGTTTTCAAAGACTTCTATGGAATGCAGTAACAGAAATGATTGTGGCTTATTAAAAATTTTATATAATAAAAAAGGAATAAAAAGGGTATAGATAGACATAAGAACATATTCTTAAATAAAACTAGTTTTAAGGGGTTAATGCACGAAACTTTATTTATTTATTGACATTTCACAGCCATTTCATGTCTGCATCGTCAGAATAATGATTTTTTATTTAATTTTGTCGAGGTACCTTTAAATTAAATAAAAAATCATTATTCTGACGATGCAGACCTAAAAAAACTGCGAAACGTCAATAAATAAATAAAGTTTCGTGCATTAACCCGTTAAAACTAGTTTTATTTAATGAGTGATGTGCGTGAAAACCTAAGAAACAAATAACATATTCTTACCCTAAAATAAGCGTGCCCGCGGACTGTGCCGTTGTTCTTCCCTTTCGGCTCGTCCAGGATAACTCCAATCCATTTTCCAGAAGCGAAAGTTGGTTTACCGACGTAAGCCACAGAACCTTTTACATCTTTCGCCATAACCATCACGCGCTGGCCAAGAGTTAGCCTCCCCGACATTTTGATGGCTCAAACACTTACGAATCCTGCAAATTAACCCAAATTATAAGATCACTAATATTTTATTTACAAATTCCTTTGAAGATTTTAAATTTTACGACCACTTTCAATGTCCGCTTACTTGAATGAAATTCTTCAATTTGTATCTATTTCTTCACCTCGAACGAAGTAACAGCAAGTTCAGGTTAATAAAACATGATTTTATTTGTTAAAACAGAATTCTATTTAGAAACTATCCAAAGAAAATTAAAGTCGCAAAGAAAATTCGCATTTACATTACAACAATTTTATTGATGATGATGACATTGACAGGCATGAATTTTGACAGTCCCGTAATCGTATCGCATCGAGTTTCTATGAAAACTAAGCAGCGCCCCTAACGGACGTAAGAACCAACTGGTTCCTTTCAAGAAGATGACGAATATGAGCGAAAATATGACGTTACGATCGGATTACGGAGCTGCGGAGCTGTTGTTAAATCCATCAATCCAAACCATTTCCCAACCTACGTTGGGTGCAATAAGATTTATTGATATAATTTGACAAAAGTGGTATCAATTCTGACATGGTTCTCTAAACTTAAAGTGTATCCTTGACATTCTTTATAAAATAAAATGGAGAGACTGATATTAAGTTTAGAGAATTATGCCAGAATCGACACATGTATCATACATTATATCCTTAAAGAGGGGCCTTCACGAACATTTTCATACAAACCATCCAATGTCCCAGCAGTTCCATGTGTCTTTGAGACATCATCATCATCATCTCAGCCGTACGACACCCACTGCTGTGCATAGACCTCCCCCAAGGATCTCCACATCGATCGGTCCTGTGCCACGCGCATCCATCGGCCTCCCGCGACCGTCACCAGATCGTCAGTACACCTGGTGGGGGGTCTTCCAACCGAGCGTCGTCCGGTGTGTGGTAGCCATTCGAGAACCTTTCCGCCCCAACAGTCAACGGTTCTCCTCGCTCTCTCTATTTCCCACTGTGCAAACTTGAGCCTTCTTATGAGACCCATAGTAAGAGACCACGATTCGCTTCCGTAAGTCATCACTGGCAACACACACTGGTCAAAGACTTTTGTCTTGAGACACTGAGGTAATTTGGACGCAAAGATTTTACGTAACTTCCCGAACGCTGCCCATCCGTGTATATGATGAATAACCTCTTTCTCGAAGTTGGAGTTACCTAAGTGGACTATCCGTCCCAGGTAAACGTAATGGTCGACAACTTCCGAGTGGAGTATGTATTCTTAATTTTAACTGGAGTGGGTACAGCATGGACATTCGACATAATTTTCGTCTTATCCATGTTCATCTTTAGATCCACTGTTGGGAAACACTGCTAAGGTCGTCTGGCATTGCGTTCAGGTCCTCCAAGGTCTCAGTCTTTAGTACTACATCATCAGCAAAGCGAAGGCGTGTTAGGTACTCGCCATTGATGTTGATTCCCTGTCCTTTCCAATCCAGAAGCTTGAAAACATCCTCCAACGCAGCAGAAAACAGTTCGGAGATATAACATCTCCCTGTCTTACGGCCTCGTTGCAGTTGGCTCGGATTAGAGCTCTAATTCTGTAATCGAACTGACATGTTGGCTTTTTTCATTAAGGTACCTTAACACCTCGACATACCTGTAGTCTACTTGCCACCTTTGGAGAGACTGCAGTACCGCCCAGGTATTAATCGTATCAAAAGCTTTCTCGTAGTCCACAAACGCTAAAGTGGCAGGTCTCCTAGGATTCTCTGTATAATCTGCCGCAGCGTATGAATGTGATCTACGATACTGAAGCCTTTTCGGCAACCGGCTTGTTCGGGAGCTTGGAAGTTATCAAACCTGCTAGCGAGACGATTCGTGATAACTCTCTGAAACAACTTATGGACATGGCATCGAAGTGAGATTGGTATATAGTTCTTCAAGGGGGTAATATCACCCTTTTTGTAGAATAGAACAACCTCACTTCTACCCCACGATTTCGGCGGTTGACCTTCGACGATGACGCAATTGAAAAGCTTCTGTAGGACTTTAAGTATCGGCTTAGCGCCCGCTCTCAGAAGATCTGTAGTGATCCGATCATCACCCATCGCCTTGTTGTTTTCAAGTTGTTTGAAAGCCATACTAATCTCATACAGGCTGACGTCTGGGATTTTTTCGGTATAGTGTCGTGTAAGCTTAGCTCTGGGATTGACTTTATAATAATAATAAATATTACAAACACTCACACCAATTAGCAAAACCCCAAAGTAAGCACTGTAAGGCTTGTGTTATGGGATACTATGGTAACGGATAGAATACATATATTGTACATATATAAGTATATTTATATAGAAATACATATTAAACATCCATGACTGGAGTACAAATGCTCGTATTCATCACACAACATCTGCCCCTACCGAATTCGAACCCGGGATCTCTCGAGTCGGCGACACCATGAAACCCGGCGTACAAACCACTCGGCCACGGAGGTCGTAAATATTTTTTTTTTGCCTAATAGACAGATCTCTTACAAACACTTTGGATTCCTTATTCCGCTCTATAGCTTCTTCAATACGATTAGTATTAAATTGGCGAAGGTCGCTCGTCAAAGTCTTAGAGATATGCCTATTTATCAAACGAGCTGATGAAGCAAGATGGCTTGAATCGGCTGAGTTCTGTAACCTCATTTCATTTCGCTGTTCCATTAGTTGGAGTGCCTTGTCGGAGAGTTTCCTTATTCTAGTACGGCGGGTTTCCAAATACTTGGACCCTACCGTACGGACAGTGGTATCGATTCTGACAAGATTCTCTAAGCCTAAACTTAAATTTGACAACAGTGCATCCTTGTCATTATCTATACAGAATGAAAAGGAAAGACAGATTTTAAATTTAGTTTTAAGATTAGAATCACGCCAGAATCGGCACCAGTATCGACCACCATGATGTTAAGATCGTCCACATCCAGGCTGTTTTCGAGGGCTTCGAAGCGGTTTTGGAGTTAGAGTTGAAAGCTCTAGGGGTTTTGAAATCTGCTGGTATTGGTCAGAGCGTAGACCTTATCAGTCGAGATCTTTCCAGCTTAATGTTAATATTCAATGTGCCTCGTACCAAACGATCACCGTTTGGTTCTTCCGCTTCCCGTTTTGACGGCATTGATCACAGAGACATAATTGAATATGTGCCTTTTCGTCGACATGATAACCCAAATTATAAGACTACCTACTAATTTGACGACCTCCGTGGCCGAGTGGTTTGTACACCGGGTTTGAAGGTGTCGCCTACTCGAGAGGTCCCAGGTTCGAATCCCGGTGGGGACAGATGTTTGTGTGATGAATACCAGCATTTGTACTCCAGCCATGGATGTTTAATATGTATTTCTATCTAATATATAAAATTCTCGTGTCGCGGTGTTTGTGGTTAAACTCCCTCGAAACGGCTCGACCGATTTTCGTGAAATTTTATATGCATATTCAGTAGGTCTGAGAATCGGACAACATCTATTTTTCATCTCCCTAAATGTTAAGGGTCATCCACCCCTAATTTTTTTTTCAATTTTAGATATTTTTTAATTTTTAAATAAATATAGATAGTTTAAATATAGACGTGGTATGTATTTCTATATAAATATAGAAATACATATCACATCTATATTTATACTAGCTGTCCCAGCGAACTTCGTACCGCCATAAAAAAATAGGGGTTGGTGGTAGAAGGGCGAAAGTTTTGGGTTATATTTATTTTTGTATCATAAAAAAAAATAAAAAATAAAAAATTATCTAAAATTGAAAAAAAAATATATATAAATATAGAAATACATATTAAACATAATGAAGTTACCCTAGTATCCCATAACACAAGCCTTACAGTGCTTACTTTGGGCTAGGCTAATTGGTGTGAGTGTTGGAAATATTTATTTATTTATAAGGTCAACCTTATTTTTAATTTTACGATTTAAACATCTAGCAGTTCAATGCTTTAAAAAATAAAAACAACTATAATTGCTATTTCTTCTTTCAAATGTTTAATACCTGTAAAGTTATTCATTTGACATTGTGGGTTACCTACAATGCGAAGAGATGGCGCTGCCTTGCAGCCTAAGGCTAGAGATAATTCGACACGGTCGTCAGGGCCGCGGTAACATAATGGTCAGTGCATTCGCCCGGATAGCAAAGGGTGCGGGTTCGAGTCCCATCTGCTGCCTGGTCCGCATGGATTTTTTTCTAGTAAACTTTTCTTAACTACTAACAGCTTCTTCCAACTCCGTTAACTTCGCGTCAGTCCTCAGTGTGCACGTGTTGTAGTGTAGGTTGCCAGGCACAGCCGTCTTTGATGGTAGCCGGATCCTAACCGGGAATTCTTCGCGTGGCTTGGACATGCCGGGAACTAGGGGGCGATTTTTATTTGTGTTAGTCATAAGAGAGGGGTTTTGCCGTATTCGCCACGCATGGCAGACGGGTTGGCTATCGCAGTATGGCCAAGGAATTGAAGGAGAATACGCTGCTGCCCGTCTTCTGCTGGCTGTGTTCCCGTAGTCCTGTGACCTTCTACGACACCGACGAAATGGGGTGGTGCTATTCTAGGCCACCACACACACGGCACTATATTTGAGTAGTAAAATCATTTACTTTCATGTTACTTACACGCATGCTTATTCGAGTTTCATAGTTGCAGTTACGGCACGGTAGATTGATGTGCGCATCTTAAAGATGTTCATATTTAAATGTATCGATAAAGTTTAGGAGGATGGGAATAAATAAAATTAACAAGTGAGCTTTAGATTTTATTAAACACAGCCTGATGAAAGACAGACAGACAGGCGAACAGTGAAATCTTAGTAAAAGGGGCCCGTTTAAATCTGAACTAGAAACTATAACAGAAACACCTAGTGGAGAAAAAAAGGTATTTGCTACGTTCTTCGGATTTGCTATAAATATTTGATAGGCGCTAGAAGCTAGTAATTTTTTTCACCTACAAATACAAGGAAATAAATAAAGTGTATTACATCTACGGCTCTATCGATACTTATACAATTTTATCACTCTATAACCGTTACAATCTTTATAAAGTAGAATACATAATTAAGCACCCGTTTGTTTGGCAAAGTAATTAAAAAGAACCATTTTTTCCTGTTACGGACAATATTGATGGAACAAATTTAATTACGGTTTAAAGGGTCTGTTCAGATAAGTTTGACGACTTATAAGTATGGTAGTTACCTACTTATCCTTTAAGTAAATCTGTTTTCATTTATGAATTGTTGTCTTACATCTTCCTACCTACATAATTTTCGTCCAGAATGAAATAGTCAACCTTAATTTTCGAATGCGATGATGTGCGCGAATAATGCGTGTGTATCAGTTCAGTCGGTAGGTATGCTATTGTGAAATAAAATATAACGCTTAAATGACAAGATAATATTTCTTCCAATGACATGGTTGGTTGACCTCGGGCAGTGCCGACTGCCGTGGACTCGCTATAATGGGGACATGACTCATTCATAGCTTCCTTGTAAGAACAACACGCACAGAAAGAAAAATATGATTCATTACAATACCGAGGCGAGAACAAGTCTAACCATAAAAATAAACACTCCAGGCAATGTATAGCGATGTTAACGTTTTCGACACCATAGCGTGGTAATATTATTATGTCATTGGCAGGGAATGTTTATCATTTAATATCACCGATATGAGTAAACCGTTTCGACATAAGTAGGTTAGGTAGGTATCTACTTTAATGCTGCTCTTTTTGACGTTAGTTCGATTATTCGAAAAATGAAGCCTAATGGTAAAGTAGATAACCTTGTGGTTAATTTACTAACGAGATGATTAGTATTGTAACGTAAGCGACGAGGGAAAAACTTTATCGTTGCGAGACGAGAGCTGAATAAATTAAAACAATGTTCCATCCAATCATTGCGTGACAACTTTACCATAAGTAGAATAGAATTTACCGATTTCGCAAGATCCCCAAGCTACTTTCACCTAAAAGTCCCGTTACATGCGAATCATACGTCGTGATTCATGGCGAAATTATACTAAGAAAAATACCACATTTTACAAAAACATATTTATTAATTCAATCATTACAGCAATTTAAAAATACAATGTCGTAAATAAAAAAAGTGATTATTTACTTGTAGGAAGGCCGTTATGAGAGCGAGTGTGTAATCACCTATCGAATATGCATTTCAAAAGCACTGACGTCTACAGAGAAAGCATCGACTGGCTAGACCACTTCGCCGTTCCTTCAATCCCATGTAGGTATAAAGTGCATCTGATCTTTCGATGCCGTCTGGGCTTTTGTTGCAATTGAAAGCCGAACGAAAAATGTTTTAGCCAGTCGATGCTTTCTCTGTAAACGTCAATGCTTTCTAAACATATTCGATATGAGTTACACGCTCGCTCTCATAATAATTAGAATACTATACACATTTTTAGCCAGTTGATGCTTTCTCTGTAGACGTCTGTGCTTTCTAAATACATATTCGATAGGGGTTACACGCTCGCTGTCATAATAATTAGAATACTATAATGACTTCATGTTATATTTTGATACAAGTTCGAGTAGTGGCTTAGAAGCCGTGCACCTTCAGCTGTTCCGGTTTCACGAGCCCGGACTTGGTGAGCCACTGGCAAATGTTCTCTCGCTGATCGCCCTGTAATTGTAGCACCTCGCCGTACTCCGGATGCTCTACGACCGTTCCGTTGCACGCGAACTCCTTCTTGCATGCCCGCACTATCTTTTTCAGGTCATATTCCGATGAGAGGCCTTGCACCGTAGTCAGCGTCTTACGCCCGCTCCGTTGCTGGATCCGGACGTGGACTAGACCATCTTGTACGTCGTCCTCCGAGCTTTTGATAGCATCGGCGAAAGGGTCAAATGTGTTGAGATTCTGGATGGACATACGATTGAACGTCACTTCTCTTTGTTCCACAAAACGCTGCGATACGACGCACGAATACGTATAGTGGCTGTCACTGATAAAGCGTGGCGATGTGCACGCAAACGACCAATTTACGCTAACACCAAATTGTAATGGCGGATCGGGCCGAAAAGGAATGTCACGCGGAGGCGGAAATTATCGATCCGCACCATAGACAAGATAACTGTAATTTTATTAAGCTGTATACACACTGGCACTCAACGTTTGCGGAACTTACCGGTTTTTAATTAGCCTTTTAATTTTGAGTATAATTTAGGCACATAATCGTCATATTTAGCAACATAAAAATTTCCAGCAACTGGAATGCCCAATTTGAATTGTTGGGCAAACTTTGCAATGGAAAATTTACCTCTTTTATCTCCAGAATTATTTGGCAATTTTGGCACTTTGGAAAAATCACACCTTTCCGTTTGCTTGTACAGTAGAAACACATATCGATGTAATCCCGTTCCCTTAGGTGGCCCAGAGCCTATATAATCAGATAATACTTCACTTTTATTCATATTACTTCCATAAATATTTCCCACAAGCCAGTGATGCCATTCACGAAACTTGGGGTTTTCGCGACTCGGTGCGTCGGGATCAACCATAGCCAACGTATAATATTCAGATTCTTTCGCAGTCCACTTTACTATGGGTTTTTCTTTAACTTGAGTGGGGGTTAATTCTTTACCCATTTCGACACAAACACCACTCTGGTACTGTATATCCAATAGTTCAGTTGGAGCTGTAGTTAATACATCGGGAACAATACAGTGCTGTTTGAATAATGTTTGTATGGACATTTTCCTTTGGTTATGATCCACAATGTTGTATAGTTCATAAAAATTTGACTAAGCAACAAATTGTTGACAAATAGTTACCATTCATTGAAAAAACGTTGGTTGCTAGGTAACCAAAGATTAAAGACTCGATATGGGATCCATGAATAATGAGCAAAATCTGCAAGCGAAATAAGCCGGAAGTATATTTGTCTATCGTATTGTGTCGTGCGTGACAGGTCAGATAGGTATCGGTTTCATACACATATAGTACGGTTAGAGAATAGATTTATATTTATGTGTCGCGATCTGTTAACACACAAATATAATTCTAACAGTACTAAATGCAAGCAACCGATACTCTCTGACGAATAGATGTCTATGGTTGCTTTCCAATTACAGAGCATAACGCGACTCAGTGCCGCACAATGCTGAATTATGCTGATGCTTAATTGGAACGTGAATTAGTTTTCAAATGCACCAGCAGAGTGCGCTTGCGCTAAGTTCAGTGTTGAAAAAAAAGTCAATGTTTGTACCTTCATCCATACTTATATTTATTTTTTAACAGTTTGAATGAACTTTGATTATTTAAAAAAACTATTTAATGAAACGAAAGCTTTAATAATTTTTCAACAATAAATAATATTACTAACGATAACATATAAATAAAACATTTCGATCAATGCCAACTTAATGAAAAAACACTTGTTAATTTTCTGTCTCTAAGTTGGTACGATTGCACGCATCACCCGAAAGCATTACTTTTGAGAGTGCTCAATTGTGCGAAGCGTTGCTGTAGTTAGAACACTCAACACGGAGTACCCCCACTAGAGTCCGCATCACGCAAATTTTGTTTGAAATCAAAATCGCCAAAGTCGGCGGCGTGCAGGGAGATCAGCCGCGTTGTGATTGGACACGTCAAGGTCAGATGATATACTCAGTGCAGCGAAGTGATGAGGGTAAGATCGATTTTAGAAAATATCGATATTTTCTATCGATAAATAAAGGACACCCGGCATTATGTGCCAAAGTTGTATACTTTTTTAATTTTTTTATCTGTGTTTCATAATTGGGTAACGTAGTCTGGCAATATTTGTCATCAGCAGCTAGCTGTCAATGTCAAATACGTAGGTTTGTCAATATAACCTCTTTATGTAGCCGGGTCGTCAAGAGAAATAACGGATAAAAAGGCAATCACAGCAGAGAACATTCACAATCACAGTACGCGGGAGCGAATGATTTTTTTGTTTGTATTTTAGGATTGTCAAATTGACATTTGGTTTTTTATTTAGAAAAAGCAAAGGAATCATGGTTTTTACAGTCACTTGAGTAATATTTTCAAGTAAAATTCTGTCCCTTGAAGATTTAGGGTTTCCATATCAAAAAATATTAATCATTATATAACTTCTTTCCACGATTCACTAAAAATAAGACAAAATTAGTTTTATGTAGCAAATAATTTTGGCTTCATTTTGAGACCAAATTCAACTGTATACAAGTTTAGCATTTTTTCTATGAAAAGTGCCGGATCTCCATTGTTCAGAGGCCTAGTACTTTGGTGCGCTAGTGTAGCTATGCGCAAACATACTCTCTCCACTTTCTTCCAGCGTTCTAATTACATGACGCGACTAGTAACTACATACTAAATAAAATATAAGCAACACAAAAAACACGTAAAAAAAATATCTAGATAGACAATAATATGCTGTTTATGACAACTTTTAAAACTTAAGGCGCCTTACTCATCGGCTCGGTACAGGTTCGTTTTGTTTGCGGGAGTGACTGTCAGTGGTAAAGTGACGAGAACATATGTAACTGTTTACAGTTGGAGTCCAATCTTTACGTTTAGTTGCACTTATCCAAAGTTCCTTCATCTTGGCACATTTTGGAAACCTATGAAATAAATAAAACACGTAATGTTACTGTATTTTGATTCTCGCATCAGTCTGTAAGATATCACCTTAAATATCTCTTTAAAGATTTTGCTCGTTGCTGTTCTCGTGAAAGGCACATGCGATATACAGACTTAATGAATTTAATATTAATACGGTGACGTCCGTGGCTCTTGACTTAGCACACGCAAAATAACCTAAGTATAACCAAATTATTGATTTTGAAGGAACTTGGTAAATACTTATCAAATTTTATGCTAGCTACCACCCGCGACTTCATCCACGTTAACTTTAGTTTTTTGAAAATCCTAAAGAAACCTGACATTTTTCCGTTACAAAAAGTATTCTATACAACGATATTTTATACCCTAGATACGACAACATGTACAAAATCGTGGCCGAAACGTGACCAAAAGGTACATTTGACGATTCACAGAGGTCCGTAAGATGATCGCGTGGTCAAAAACAATGTAATGCATTATTTAAAAAAAAGTCACCTTTAATGCATACGGCATAAGCTCTTAATTAAAACGCATGCATCAAAGATTTATGGCAGTTCAAAATGCAAGTTCCTAAAATTTTACGACTTATTGTTATATGCGAAAGAAAATAGACCTTATTTTTTTAACTTTTCGCGCTCAATTCTGAATGTGCTGTTAGCTATTATAGCAGGTACAGACCGCGAAGAAAAAAGACGGCTATAGGGCGACGTATAACCGACCATGCTTTTGAGTATCACAAATATGTTATATTAAATCAGTTTATAGTAAGTATTACAATAAAATTTGCTTCAAATGCGTTAAATTTATAATAATAATAAAAACGTTTATTTGGCTCAAATTATATAAATAACTTATTGTATTACATAAAGATGACTATGTACCAAATTATAAAAACATTAATTAGATACCTGTCGAAAAAACAACACTTTACGTACTATTAGTATTTTTTTCGCATTTTTACGGAGCTCTGCGGCATTTTGACTTTTCATCGGTCCGCACGTGACTATAAACCAAGAAGTGCTTGAATAAAGTTTAAGCACTTGTTGATTGGGACACATTTTGAGCGCTCGTGGTCTATCTAGGGTATTTAATATCGTTAATTCCATGTCTTTATCTAGGTCATAAAGTATGCGCACTTAATTTCATACAAATCGGTTTAATCGTGTAATAGTAACAAACATCCATACAAATTTTCGGGTTTAAAATTTTAGTACGATATGATTAAAAACTGTTGGTTGTATACTCATGATATCTGTTATTGTATACGATGAAATAAATAGTTTTTATTTATTTTTTCTATTTCCGTAGCTGACAAACTTATCGATAAACTTACGGGTACAGACATGAGCTGCGTCAAGTCACTAGCAATACACGTGCCGGTGTGAGAGCGGAGTAGCATATATGATGTAGCGCATGCGAGAAAGGGATAGTGTTAAAAGACATCAACGCGTTCACCAAAAAATAAATACAATTAAAAGCAATTTCATATAAGAGTATTTTTGTCTTTTTGTAATGCATTTAAACTTACCGGTGAAAAGTAATACCATCTTTTTGAAGACTGGAAGTTTTACTCCACTTTCCACGTAATTTTATTGCACAGTACGGCATTTTTTCTAGTTTTTTAACGCAAAAACGAGAGAAGCACTTCTGCTAACGCTCGGCTTCGGAATGAAACGATGTATAGCGACGTCTGTGGGCGTGTCTCACGCATACGTAATATACTACTTAAGCTTGGCGTAAGCGCTTGCCCTTGTATGCGGACTCTAGTGGGGGTGCTCCATGACACTCAACGTTAAGCATTATGTCGCATAATGCGCTATAATGCTGTAATTGGAAAGCAACCTATACTACGATGCGTCACACACAGGGACGAATTTAGGGGTGTGGGGGCCCCGTACAGACTTAGTACTTATTAAAAGATAACCTGCATAAGGATCATTCTTCCTTGGATTTTTTTTGTAGTCGGCTTCTTGAATTTCGGAAAGAAATCCAAAGATTAATACTTCATTAACAAAAATCTGTTAATTTGTATTTTTGTTCATGTGTTATTTTGTTGTGTTTAATTGATGAAATATATTTTTTTTTTCTGTAAACTTCAGCCCATAAAATTTTATCATGTTATGCCCAAATTGAAATTTATTGTAATTGCTTTGTTTATTAATATTTAATTGTAACTTGTTTTGTGAGCTAATAAATAAATAAAAATAAAAAAACAAGCGAGCCTTGCAGTAGTCGCGTATGATTTGTAACATTTGAAACCTCACCTTATATTAGTAAAAAAAGAAAGAAAACCTACTACAAAAGGAATAAGCTATTTGAATATTATTTTCTAAAATCAAATCAAATAGCGCGCTTTCGCGACTTCCTGTTACATACTTCCGTCACATTTTACGAAATCACTCACACAAATTGCAGGAAAGCGAGAGGGAAGATGTTCATCAAAAAAAGACTGATAGAGTGAGGAAAGTTGTCATGCCCTTACGACAATCCCACAAGGTTGAACGAAACGCAACATAATGTACCTTTGCTCCAATAAAGTAAGAGCCCACAGTGTCCTTTCAAGCCTTTAAGTTTTTAAAAAATTCTGTGAAACTAAGAAAACAATTGTGCTTATACAATTCAGTTTGTGTTATGGTATCCAAAGTTTGATTTTTGCAAATGGACAAAATAAAACTTCACAGATTTCCTGCGGGTCAATTATCCTTTAGTGATATAATCCTAATGTGATGTCAATATGATGTTGATGCCAAGTTGACATTGTTTTCAAATGATATTATGAAACATTCCTATGTCACATCAAGATCATATCAATATCATATCCTGTATTACATTTTTGCCGTTAATGCGATACTGTTTTAAGTCAAAAAGTTGAACTTATTACGCATTTAAGTTGATATCAAGTTGATATCATTTTAAAGAGTTGATCATAATATAAGACACATAAGTTGAAGTCTAGTTGATGTCATTTTGATATCGCATTTTTCGGAGAGCATAATACGTAATGTGAAATTGATATCAAAACAATGGTGCCGATTCTGGCGTGATTCTCTAAACTTAAAACTAAATTTAACATCAGTCTGTCCTTTTCATTCTATATAGAGAATGACAAGGATATACTGCTGTCAAATTT